ATCCATCACCATCTGCCTTATTATGTTCTTAATGTAGTATTTGGATACAAAGACTCTGAAATTGCATTGATTATATTTCAAGTAAGATAAAAGATACTTTCATTTTTCCACAGAGATCTTTTAGTCATGAACTAGCTAGCACATATAACTTATGTAGTCTTTGAGGGGAGGTTCTTCTCTACTTTGAGAAGGGGTCTGAATTTTGGCAAGGGAATTGTCAATGTTATGAAGTAGTTAATCTTGTAAGAAAATTAAGAATAGTGGAAAATCTCAAGCCGGTTACTTAGGGACTAGATGTAGGTCTATGGAACCGAACAAGGATAAATCTCTGTATTTGTGATTGCACATTTCTGGTTTGAGTATTTTATTTCCGCATTTTGTTGATTATAGTTTAATTTCGTAAGAAATTTGTATTAAGCACTATTCACCCCCTAGTGCTTTGAGCATTGCATACAGGATCCAACAGATTGAAATTAAATTTTTTATCAAAATAATTTTGTTGTCTAATTTCCAATTTTTAATTTAGATTTTTTTGTTTATAAATATTTTTGAAAATATATTTTTAGCTTTTAAAAAAGTACAGCAATTAAATTTTTTTCCTAATAAAATTTAATTGAATTTAAATTTTTTTGTTTTTAGATAGTTGTGAAAATTAATTTTAGCAAAAAGTGAATAAATAATAACCAATTTTTAGTAAATTTTAAATCACCAAACATTATTTTAATTTAACTAACTAATTTGGATCGTGTTCATAATTTTTTAAATTATTTTAAATTATCTTAATTTTAAAATATTTCTTAAATAATACAAAAAATTTATTAAATTATAAATTACTAAGTTAATCTTACCAAACATAAGTTATTAATTTAAACTTCCAGATCTTACTTCAATTTAACAATCTAATTTAGGTCATGTTCATAATTTTTAAGTTGTTTTAAATTATTGTAATCCAAAATATATCTAAAATAATACCAAAGTTTTATTTAAAATTACAAAAATTGTGTAAATTTAATTCGTATTTTTTAAATAATACTACAACTATAATTTCCACCCAAATAATTTTTTACCAAATATATAAATTACAACTTGATTTTTTATTTTTATATTAATAAAATTTTAAATTTTCTAATTTTCAAAAAATAATTTAGATTTTATTCTATTTTTAAATAGTTGTGGAAATATATTTTTTGTTATTTAAAATATTTCTATAGTTAAAATAATCATAAAATTTTACTTTTTAGTGAAAATAATTTAGTTTCCATATTTAACTTTTTAATTATATTTTTTATTTTTTTATTTTTATGCAGTTGTGAAAATTTAATTCTTTTTTAAATATTTCTAAAATTTAAGTTTTTAATGAATATATTTTCTATTTTAAAATATTACCGCAATAAAATTATTTTTCCAAATAAATTAGTATACAAATTTACAAATTTAATTGAATTTTTATTTTTTTAAATAGTTGTGAAAAATAATTTCACTAAAAAGTGAATTAAATAACACCAAAAGTTTAGTAAATTTCAAATTATCAAATCCTACTTTAATTTAACTACTTAATTTTGATCGCGTTCAAGCTTATTTTAATTTCAAAATATTTCTAAAATAATACCAAAATTTTATTAAATTTCAAATTATCAAATTAATCTTACTAAATACAAGTTACAAATTTAAACTACTAAATTTTAATTTAATTTGACTACCTAATTTAGATCGTGTTAACAATTTTCAATTTATTTTAATTTTAGAATATTTTTGAAATAATCCAAAATTTTATTAATTTCAAATTACCAAATTAATCTTACAGAAGCAAGTTGCAAATTTAAACTACCAAATCTTTCTTTAATTTAGGTATCTAATTTTGATTGTGTTCATACCAAATTTTATTAAAATTTAAATTACCAAATTAATTTCACCGAATACAACTTACCAATTTAAACTACCAAATATTACTTTAATTTAACTACCTTATGTAGTTTGTGTTCATAATTTTTTAAATTATTTTAGTTTCAAAATATTTCTAAGATTGTACCATAATTTTATTAATATTCAAATAACCAAATTAATCTTGGAGAAGGCAAATTACCAATTTAAACTATCAAATCTTGCTTTAATTTAACTAGATAATTTAGTTCTTGTGCACAATTTTTCAAATTTTTTCAAATTATTTCAAATTATTTTAATTTCAAAATATTTCTAAAATATTACCAATTTATTTTTAAAATTAGATTACCAAATTAATCTTACCAAATACAAGTTACCAATTTAAAGTAACAAATATTATTTTAATTTAGCTACATAATTTTTAAAATTATTTCAAATGACTATAATTCAAAATATATCTAAAAGAATACCAAAATTTTATTAAATTTTAAATTACCAAAAATTTGAATTTAGTACATATTTTTAAAATAATACTAAAATTATAGTTTTTACCCAAATAGTTTTTTATCGAATTTACAAATTATAATTTGAATTTTTATATAATTTGAAATTATAATTTTCCTAATTTCAATTTTTAATTTAGATTATATTCCCTTTTCAGATAGTTGTGAAAATATGTTTTTGGTTATTTAAAGTAGTTTTATACTTAAAATAATCTTCTATTTTTAAATTTTAATCGAAATAATTTAGTTTCCCAATCGAAAATTTTAATTAGATTTTTTTCTATATAACTGTGGAAATTTAATTAGAAAATATTTAAATATTTTTGAAATTTAAATTTTTACCAAAATAATTTTGTTACTGAACTTATGTCAACAACTTTTGATTTCATGGTTAACGTAGGTCTCTGCCATAATATGAAAGATAACTTTTGATTTCATGATTAGCGTAGGTCTCTATCGTAATATGGAAGATATAGAAGATATTATGAATTTATCCAAGTGCTGAAGTGTGTAGTGTTTTTTTGAAATTATATTTGGATGGGCAGGGGAGGGTGTGGTTCATGTGCTTGAAAAGAGGTTGAGTCATTTAATCTTTAAAATTATTCAAATGAGAGTGATTGAAACACAATCAAATATGGATGAATTGCGATAAGACCGTGCTTAGCGATGCTAAAATACTGGTAAATGGAAAAAGCAATTAAATAGAATTTTGTCATTACGGTGATAGTTCATTTCAGAGGGCGTCAGATTGAAGGTTTGATCCATGCTCGTAGCATTAGAAATCTTCTATTTAATTTTTTCAAAATTTGGATTCGCGGTAGCAGAAAATCATCAAACTAATCTTAGGCTCTTATATATTGCAGTCCTATTGGTGTCAAATAATAATTCAGTTGGAAGGTTTTGATCTACTTAAAGCTCTTGGACAAAATAAGACTGATATGAAGTTAATATATCTAATAGTTAACAATATTAGATATCTATGCTAAATGCTAAATTAAGTTCCAATCAAATATCAACTCAGTGGAGTAAAATATCAGCTTAAACATATGATATCAGCAGTAAAATATCAGCTTAAACTAGATAAGATATCCTATGCCTATTTTTTATTATATCAGCAGAATCATGGCAGGCAACGAATCACATATATTACCTAGTCACAATCATAATTAAGGGGAAACAACCTTAAAGATATTAGTTAACAATATGAAGTGATCATGTCCACATATATTAGATAAGACCGCTGTATCCAACCGCACATTATTATTATTCGATTTATATCTTATTAATTATTATTATTATTATTTTGGCTGATATTCTTCTTCCTTCTTCTTTCTTCACAACCTCTCTCTCTCTCTCTCTTCATCGTCTTTCTATCTCTGCTCTCTCTCTAGTGTAGTATACTATACGTATATACTATTATATACTTAGTATATATATAGTATAGTAATATAGTACAATATAAATATATGTATTAGCATTTATAATAGGTTACATATATATATATATATATATATATTATGATATGGAGAGGTTTCTAATAAAAACTTCTTTAGCTAAAACTAAAAACGCTCATTCATCTAATATAGGAATTCAGTCAATCATTCAACAGACGCGTGCATTAATTGACCCATTAAACACATACATTAATTACATCAAGGCAGTGAATATAGTATTCACCGTGGTAGTGAATATGGATTACGACTGTAGTGAATCTGGATTTTTACACTGCAGTGTATTCGGAGATACATTGGGGTTAGTTGCAGGGTGACGTGTGAATCTGGGCAATTCACTGAGTTGAGCGGTAGATTAATGACCTAGGTAATTAATGCATGTGTCTGTTGAACTGTTTGACTGAGATCCCAGCCATTGATTCATGCTAGATCCAATGGCATGAAGAGGTTTTTAGTTTTTGTAGTTGGGCTAAGCGAGGTTTTATTTAGACATCTCGCCTTTAATATTATATATATAGTAGCTATAATATATATATCGTATAATATATTAGATAAGCTACCTATATAGTATATATAGTATAAATATATATTACGTATTATTATATATATATAACTTGAAATGGTCAACGCTGCTCAATGATTAAGCTTCAGCTAAACTTAAGTGAGCCTATAAGGTGATAATGTCAATATCATCACATAATTTTACACAGCTGTATTAAGCGAAACAAATACCTTAACCATTAAAAAAAGTGAAACAAATATCTTAGATATTAATGACTAAAAGGACACAGGATCAACACACTTTATCAATACAGATGTACAAATTTAACTATAAGAATTAGCAAGTGATGGTGACTCCAAGCCACCAAAGCATATGAATAATTGTAACAAACAAGCCAATGAAAGGTAAGGCCAAGATAATGTAGAATGAATTCCCAAGTGTAGAAAAAGTGCTCATGAAGTGAAATCTAGGGCCACATAATTGCCAACAGACGGATAAAGTGCAACAAATCCCAGTTCGAAGGAACCTTGCTGTCTCTCTCTAGTTCTGTAATCTATATATAGGTAGCTACCTCTATCTTGTTCTCTTCATAAGATTCATAGATTAACAATTTCTTCTTATATTTCCTAAACTTTTCTTTGGAAGATAATATGAGGCCTGGAGAAAATGCATCTGTAGCTGTTATCTCTGCACATCAGCTCAAAGATCAAGGCAAGCCCAGCTCTTCATCAAGTCAGGTTAGGGCCCTTCAAAGATCTCTTAATAGATCGGAGAGTGAGATTAAGTCTAAAGATGTGAAGGGAAATTCTGTGGAGGAGTCATTAAGAATGGTGGTGTTCTTGGGTTCATGGGGACCTAATTAAGGGGTACCATGATGCAATATAAGTAGAGAAATAAGAAAGTCTCAAGTTGCAGTTCAAGTGAACAAAAGATGAGAGATTTTCCTTGCAAGACAATGTAAAGATACATATGTGACTCTCTCTATCCCTGAAAGACTATGTAAAGATACATATGTGACTATCTTTATCACAAAGCCAAGTTCCATGTAACATAAATGTAGATATGCATGTTTAAGGATAACGAGAATGGAAACTTTTCTAGTTGAACCCTTGATTTAGATCAATACTTACTAATACAAGCAGCTAGCTTGTTCTAAAATATTGTTGCGAGGATTTCTTTTTCGGTTTCTTAAAGGGTTAACTGCAGGTAGAACTCTGAACGAACCGCGGATGAACTCCCTACAGTTCTATTGCTGCAATGATATGTTCCCGCTTACTACGATCTCCGCAACTCAGTAGCTAACCAACAATTAATAAGATGGAAAATAACCGCAATCAAGAAGAAAGAACATCAAAATTTACGTGGTTTGGTTGACCAACTTCGACCTACGTCCACGGGCAACAATACGAGAAATCCACTATGTATCAGGGAGAACTATAAAAGGAACCACTCAACTATCGTCTCTCAATCTCTCAACCTCACATACATAATCAACTCTCATATTCTCTCCAAAGTCCACTCCTTACAATTTTTTGAACGGACAAAGACTGTGAAACCCTCCCCCAATGATCTAATCTTTTGCACGGATAAAGACCACGAAATCCTCGCCTCTTGCATAAAATTCTTGAATCAGGCTACGCCCTCTGCTAATCCTAGATTACAAGAATATTGGCTCTCTCTCCTCTGCTTGGTTTTTCCTCTAACAATAGAAGAATATATATAGTGAAACCAAAACCCTATCTCTAGCCTAACTTTCTAATTAGAATAGGATTCAAACTGCTAATCATGATGAAACACAATCTCCTAATCATGATATATAGATCTCTAACCCTATCTAATTCTCATGAAGTTATACAAATAATCAAAGACATAATCCTAACATGATACTCTTGTCTGAAAACCTTTTTGACAATTTTATCAGGGTAAATTACACTAAACCCTCAAGAACTTTCAACACTTTGCAGTAAACCCTCAATAGCTTCTATAATCACACCTAAACTCTAAATAATTATTGGAATTGCACATACATAAGTTCTGCAGCTTGCAGATAACCCCCATGACAACATCAATCCACATTTAGGATCTAAATGTGTCGTCAATGCAAATGTGGATTGGCGTTGTCCTTGGGTTTATCTGTAAAACCTAAAAACTTATTAGGGAATTCTCTGCAATTCTAATAATAAGTGGGGGTTAATTGTGATTTTGAAGTTAGCGGGGGTACAAAACATTGAAAGTTATTGGGGCTTAGTGTAATTTATCATTTTTATCATCAAAGAAAAAGGTTTTTTTAACAAAATGACCTCATGAGAATAAAAGAGTAAAAAAAATTCTCTCATGGTGTCCATCTGCAATAAAGGCCAGCAGGGGGTTTGTCCGCAATCAACAATAATAAAAAGCGTCTTTAGGCAATTTAACCCCTTTCTTACTGGGGTAAGACGAGGTACATGGAGATAGCTTGTTTAGTTGCCTGGTTCGACATACCATTGCTCAAATAAGATGTCGAAAATTCAATAGTATGCATTCTAAGCAATGTGAAGGTTCTTTAAGAAAAGGAGTAATCCATGTATGTAAAAAATGAAAAAGAATCATGTATGTGAAATAATGTATTACTTTTTTATATGCCAGTTAATTATGTGTATGAGATAATATTTTGTGAACAAAGGTAAATAATCTTATGTCCCTGTCCTAGTGATTTCTCTGTACTAAAGTATTGTCATGTCCTCATCAGAGAAACATATCTTATGTATTATGTATAGTTGACAGTGGTAGTAAAGTATAGAGGAAGGGGACAAAAGATAAAATGATTCATCTTTATCTTAAGTATTATATAAGATTCTCCCCGAACTTAGGATCTAGAGGCGGACCAAGTCACGTATTTTAATATTGGTAAGCCTACTCTTCAGAGCGCCCTCAATACTTCCGCCCAATCTGATAGCAATCATTAAATATATCTAAATCTGCATGATACAGGAGACCAAGTAATTGGACAAGTAATTGGACAAGACGATATCTTAACTCGTCCAATATCCGACGTCTCAATAATATCCAACATCTCAACTCGTCCGACATCTCAACTCAATACAAACCAACTCATCTTAGCGGACGAGACGACATCAGAGCAGATGAAATGACATATCAGTGGACGAGACAAGATCTCAGCAGACGAGACGAGGCGAATTAAGCAGGCAGAACGAGACGACACATGTTAGTCGACACGAAAGGCGGTTTAGTCGACACACTTCATGTCGACTGGAACAGCAGTTGGGAATACATGCCCAGTCGACACGAAATGCGGTACTAGTCGACTCGTCTTGTGTCGACTCGGTCATCAGATTAGGAAAGAATTCGTTATTATTATTATTTTTTAGAAACAGAGTTTCTTTTTTATTAGAGTTAGGATAGGTTTAGTTGGCTATATATAATAGTTCCTTTTGTAAATCAATAATTAACTTTTTCAATTATTCAATCAAGAGAATTTTTCTCTATTGTTTTCTTTTTCAAGTTTGAGAAACCTCTGGCTTGTGAATTCAAGCTCGTGAATTACATGTTATTGTCAGGGCTCGTCGGCATCGGAACGATATCCGATCAGCCTCTCCGTTTCTACGCCTGTGTCATGTGGTATCAGAGCTTCGACTTTAATATTCTCGACAATGGCAGGTGACGGGGAGAATGAGCTTTCTCTACAAGATCTTTCCGCGAGGATGGATTCTATGGATGGAAGATTTGGCACGTTGAAGGCGTCTCTTCAGAACCGTCAACAAGCCATTGAAGGACTTACTCTTCACCTCAACAATGGGAATAACTTCGCCGACGGTCTTCACCTAGGCGGACCCGGAGTTAGGCAACCCCGACATCCACCCCTGTATAATCATCAACCCCCTCCAGTTCATTCCCCTCCAAATCAACCACGTCCAAACCAACCCCCTCCATATCAACCCCCTCCACATCAACCTCCTCAATATCAACCCCCTCCACTCCTTCAACGACTCCCCAATCAAACCCTTCCCCATGATAATTACAATGACGACGGAGCGGACTATGGTCACCAATTTGAAAGGCCATGGTATGATAATGTTTCAAGTGAAGAGGAAGGAGATCGACCTTATGGTAGAGGTCGGAGTAGAGGCTACAACCCTCGTCACAACAACCACCAACAAGGCCGATATCATCAGGACCAAGACTATCGGCACCAACATAGAGTCTTTCTTGGATTGGCTCTACGAAGTAGAGAAGTTCTTTAAGATGGCTAATGTGTCTGAAGCAAACCAGGTGAAGTTTGTAGCATATCGTCTCAAAGGAGGAGCCGCGATATGGTGGGATCAAACTCAAAACACTAGGAGACGACAAGGCAAGCAACCGGTGCAGGTTTGGTGTCGCATGAAGCAGCTACTAAGGGCAAGATTTCTACCACTCGACTATCAACAAATCCTCTACAACCAGTTCGAGCAATGCCCTCAAGGAGTCCGATCAATAAGCACATATACCGAAGAGTTCTTCCGTCTTACTTCTTGTTACGATTTGTCTGTGAGCGAGGAACAACTCGTAGCCAAATATATTGGTGGTTTGAAGTATTCGATTCAAGAGAAGGTGGTCATCCATAATGTGAACTCTGTAGACGAAGCCCATAATATGACTCTAAAGGCGGAAAGTTTGGCCTCCAAGACATCACATTTCAGGCGAACCGATCAGGGAAGTTCGGCCGAGAAGGAAAGAGATGAGTCGGCAGGTCCAAGTATGACTAATCGGTCTAATCCTCCATGATCAACCGAGCGGTCGACAAATCAACCACTGCCCCAGATGACTCAATCAAATTAGTATGCCAAGCCGACCGTAGGGAAGTGTTTCCGATGTCTCCAACCAGAAAATAAGTCCAACGAGTACCCACAACGGTGGAAAGTCAATCTTGCGGATTATGAAGAAGCTGAGGATGGGCACACAACATCTGAAGAAGAGTACGCGGAAGAGGTTGTCGAGGTTAAGGGTGACAATGTGTCATGTGTTGTTCAACGACTTCTATGTGCTCAGAAGACACCAGACTCATCACAACGGCATCAAATTTTCTTTTCTAGGTGTTCAATCAACAACAATGTGTGCACCCTCATCATTGACAATGGAAGCTGTGAGAATATTGTGTCAAAGGCCTTGGTGGATCACTTGAAACTATTGACAAAGACAAAGTCTGTGCCTTATACATAGGATGGATCAAAAAAGGTCCCTCCGTAAAGGTGACTGAGTTGTGTCACGTGCCATTATTACTGTGAAAGACTTATAATGACTCTTTTACTTGTGATATTATGGATATGGATGCGTGCCATGTCTTGTTAGGGTGACCGTGATAGTATGATGTTGATGCTAAGCCTGGCGGCAAGAAGAACGAGTACTCTTTTGTATGGATGAATAAGAAGATCATCCTACCACCTATTCCACCCTCTCCAAAAAACCCAAAGGATCAAAAGTCCAAATGTATATCTTTGTGCAACAAGGATGAGTTTCTGGCCGAGTCAAAGGAGTTAAAGTAGAGGTTTGCCTTAGTTGTAAAGGAGGAAGTAAAGACACTCATTGAGGTCCTATGGAAGATGAAGTCGCTGCTTAAGGAGTTCGAAGTGTTGATTCCTGAAGAGCTACCAAATGGTCTTCCTCCCATGAGGGATATTCAGCATCATATTGATTTTATCCAGGGGTCAGTACTTTCTAACCTTCCACATTATTGTATGAACCCGCAGGAAAAGAAGGTTTTACAGGACACCATTAAGGACCTTATTAAGAAAGGCCACATCCGAGAGAGTATGAGTCAATATGCAGTTCCAGCACTGTTGACACTAAAAAAGGATGGTAGTTAGCAGATGTGTGTGTATAGTAGGGTCATTAATAAGATTATAATTCGCCACAGGTTTCCAATCCCTCGGTTAGACGATATGGTAGATCAGTTGGGGGGCACGAGAGCCTTTTTGAAGGTCGACTTGAGGAGTGTATATCATCAGATCCGAATCAGACCAGGCGACGAGTGGAAGATCGCATTCAAGAGTAGTGAAGGACTCCACGAATGGTTAGTGATGCCTTTAGGGTTGTCGAACGCTCCAAGCACCTTTATGCGTTTAATGAACCAAATTCGGAAGC